ACTAATTGGCAACTGTAATTTGAGTCAGTCCGGGGTCAGTCCAGGTTATCCATTAGCGGTGGGTTGTGTGGCTGCCTTGGCTGTACAAAGACATCAGTCTGTCCCGACGCAATTACCCCGTCATGTTTAAACCAGGAAGCCAACTTGCGGTGATAACACGCATCTCTAAACCAGGAGGCGCGTCGCGTAAACCCAGCTGATCAGCGCTCCGTCAAAAAGTGCATATTCTCCATAGACAATAAAAAATACTACTCGCGTTAAATGTTTCTTTCTCTTTTTTGTTGCGCGTAACCTACCCTTCATCTTTCTCCACCAAATGCGTTGCAGTTCGACAGACTGTGGTTGAAAATATCGTGGAGGAAATATTCAGCCCACTCAATTCAGCGCCTTACTGGATTGACCGAAATGGTCGAACAAAGGCTATTTTGAAAATGACGGCTGCGCTCACATTGGAGACAACTGGTATTGCCTTGTGACATTCAGTGACCTCGGCCTTTGCGTTGCGACAACTGCAAACACAACTTGTAAGTCGGTATGCCCAGAAGTGTCATCTACACGGCGCTAATTGGCAAAACACATTGAAAATTTAACCAAATAAACCTTTACGAATTTGTATACTTTTGAACTGCTGCACCTATCTCTTTGCATTAAAGTCCATTAGGATTGTGTTGGGAATGCGCCCATTCCCACAAGTACTCATCACAGGAAGGCCACGAGTGCAACTTACGCCGCTGTCATTAGCGCGCCGTGTTTATCGAGTTTTCCTCATAGCTGATTGATCCCATGTCGCGACGCCTGCTTATGGAGCAGACTTAATAAATACTCCCCAGCCTGTGTGACTTGCGCTGACTTGCTGTAAAGTGGTTGGTCTGAGTAAACGCAATGTCTCTCTTTTCTCTGTCTCGCTCTTACGGGCTCTTGGGGAGCGTTCGCGTTAATCAGAAGTGTCAGGTGCGGTTCATAACAGATTTACCACTGCCAAGTACATCCAAAAATCATTATGAAAAGTTCTATAGAACGGTTGAGATACTTACTTGCACGGTTTCCTACGCAACTTGTCCTTATGAAAGATAAATCTCTTTTTGTAGTGCAGTATGTGTACTAATTCCTGACTTTTTGCAAGAAACTCCCTGTTATGCAAACGCAGTCCACACTGAGGTCCCCAAAGCCTCACAGCAATAAATTAATGGTCGTTCTTCGAAACAGTTGACATTGCGA